TTTGACAATCAAGGTGATACTGTTGAGGATTTTCTGTTCATAATAAAGATTGTTTAAACAAAAACATGCCCACCATTGGAGTTTGATTTGGAAGTTCCAGTGATAAGGAAACCACTAAGATCGACCCGTAGCCTGGGTTTAACCGCCCATGGCAGCATCTTCCTTTTGCTTTGAGGACACCTAGGCTTGAAATGCCCTCTACTTAAGTTTTCACTTTTGTTACATGAAAGTAACTGAGATTTAAGTATTTTAATTTGTAGGTGGTTGATGCATTACTTGATACGAGCAGAACCCCAAGAAAACCTCAATATACCATGGCCCCAGAGATCCCATTGGTTCTTCAGTCCTGTGAATTTGAGGGTCTCAAGTTCACTTGTTCTTCAGGTACTTATATGGTTGCTGAACTATAAACAGCCCATGCTATGTCTCTATAACTTCTGAATGTGTGTTTTTCACGTGTTCCTCTAGATGCTGGGCAAGCGTTGCGTGTACACTTGGCAAAAGAATGCCAAAGTTATCATCTCCAAGCTGCAATCTTCCATGAGGCTCTTCGGAGCTGTTTGCCAATAGAAAAAGGTGCTGAAAGTAATGTTCCTCATATATTTCCGTTGAATACTATTAACATTTGCTGTATACTTATTGCCTATTTCTGGGACCACCTTTGTTTTCTCAGATCAGAGTTCCTTGGAAAATAGAACAATCAAGAAGAAATGTGCCCATGTCCCTCTAGTGTCGCGGCCAACTGAGCGTAAGTGCTACCGTCTCTTTGTAAACCGCATAGAACCGATTATTACAAGAAAAGTGGAACGTTGTGCAGGTGACATCCTCATTAATTAGTTGGACAATGTTAGGATATACTCTATGGTGGCTTGCTTTATGTTATACAATATATAAAATGTGCTTTCAAGAGTGTCTAGCTTGCATTGTGTTCTCTGTGACAAGATTATCATGATTTCTCATGTTGCATGTGGTTATCATGATTTCCTTCACCCCGTACAAAAATAAATCAATAAACATAAACCACCACATCAAAATGGGTTGTCTATGTGGTTGAGGCTGTTCAGGGAAGCTCGTTTGAGTCAGGCACTTCTGGTCTCATGTACTGCTTTGTTGTGTGAGAGGTATCCGTTTTCTGAGGGAAAAGGGAATGGTGCTGGGAGGCGTTTGGTAATGGCTGTTTTTTGGTGTAGCTTGGGTGGAAAGAAATAGAAAGATATTGTACTTTCGAGTGAGGGAGGTGGGTGATTTGTGGGAGATAGTCCGATTTTGGGTACCTTATGAGCATCGGTATCTCCAAAATTTAGGGCTTATTCTGTATCGATTAACCCGCGTTTTCTTAGTATTGATATAAACTTTTGCAGTTGTTTGCAGTTTCCAGTAGTAGTATTAGTCCTTACTAGCATTATTCTCTGTTTGCAGTTGTTTGTGTACTTGCATTAGTAATATTTTGTAACTTCACTCATCAAATTATAACTCTTCCTCAATTGATCGCAGCATCGTATGACGAGAGACGTGCCAAATTAAACTCCAAGGCGTAGAGACTGAAGAGCTTAATGATATTGTTATCTTGGAGATTAACAAACTAGACCTTATTCTGGGATTTGTATTAGTATGTTGTATTAGTAAATTAATTGTTTCGTTACAAAATGTTGTTCAACGATTTTCTTTCGATGTATAATTTCTCACAATTGGTTTTTTCTATTTTTCTGTGATTGTAAACTGAAAAACTTGTTTTGATAATAGTTTTCAACTTTTAGTTTTCTAAATGGTGACAATAAAAATTGAAATGTAAGAATCCTAAGCTTTTGCTTCTTCACTTTTGTAGCCTACTAAAAGGCTAAAAGCACATGGACAAAGAGTGTAGAGTGTGTAGACCTTTTACCAACTACTTGGGCCGGCTTCTGCTTCTGGGTCCGGTTCACATGCCATCCTCAACTCTTTTCACAGGGACGGTTTTTTTATTATTATTTTTTAGGGTTATTATACAAAATGGTTCATGAAATTCGTACATGATCAATAGAAATGGTCCCTTAAATTGAAAATCAATAGAAATGGTCTCTAAGATTGGTCATTCTGTTAAAAACTCTTTGGACAATTTTCAAAGCTTTGTAACTCAATCGATTCTTAACCAAATTCAACCTATAATATATCAAAATGAAGATAAGAAAGTGTCTCGAACAAGATTATACCTATTTGGAAGCTCAATGATTGCCAGAGATGGCCAGAAAATAGTCTGAAAGGCGACTGGTCCGCAGGAAAACTGGAAAACTTGTCAGAAATTGGGTAAAATTTAAACGTTCATAACTTCTTCAATACTCAACGAAATCGAGTGATTCAAAAATGAAAATCATACTTCTCGACGAGATCAAGAGAATGGTATCTTTATTTACTGCTAACTCGCCGTGGTTTGGCCAAAAAACAGCTTGAAAGTGGCTAACTCGAAAATGGTTAGCCATTTTTGAGCTGTTGTCCGACCAAACCACAACGAGTTAGCCTTCAAAAGAGGTACCATTCTCTTCGTCTCGTCAAGAAATATTATTTTCATTTTTGAATCACTCGATTTGGTTGAGTATTGAAGAAGTTATGAATGTTTAAAGTTTACCCAATTTCCGACGAGTATTCCAGTTTTCCGACTAACCAGTTACCTTTCAGGCTATTTTCCGGCCATCTTCAGCAACCATTGGGCTTCCAAACAGGTATAATCTTATTCTACACTTTCTTATCTTCATTTTGATATATTATGGGTCGAATTTGGTTAAGAAACGATTGAGTTACAAAGCTTTAAAAATTGCCCAAAATCGTTTCTAACGGAAGGACCAAAATCATGGATGGTGGACAATCTCAGGGACTATTTTGTATAATAACCCTATTTTTTTTTTTTATGGTATATTCATGTTTATATCTTGCAAAACAACGCAGAGTTGGATGAAGACCTCAACCATAGAATACAAGCTGGATGGATGAAGTGGAAGAGTGCATTCGGCGTGTTGTGTGATCGTCGTATGCCATTGAAGCTCAAGGGAAAATTTTATAGGACAGCAATAAGGTCAGCAATGCTTTATGGCACGAAATGTTGGGCAGTGAAGCATTAACATGTACATAAAATGGATGTAGCGGAGATGAGAATGCTTCGTTGGATGTGTGGGCACACGAGAAAGGATAAGATTAGGAATGAGGATAACCAAGGTAAAGTAGGAGTAGCCGAAATTGAAGGAAAAATGAGAGAAAATCGATTATGGTGATTTGGACATGTGAAACGAAGCCCTACTGATGCCCCGATTAGAAGATGGGATTACGTGACAGATGTTTAGGGCTGAATGGGTAGAGGAAGACCTAGGAAGACTTTGGAAGAGACTCTAAGAAAAGACTTAGAGTACTTGAATCTAACGAAAGAAGTGACACAAAACCGAGCGTAATGACATTCTAAGATTCATATAACCGATCCTACTTAATAGGAAAAAATTTTATTGTTATTGTATATTCATGTTTATTTTACGTTTATAAATTGATAGTCAATTACTTCTCTATCGTTAGATTACTCAATATTGCATTCAAAATTTTATTATGAATTAGTTTAGTGTTTGCCACTTCATCTCAATTCTACCTCAGTTGACTTTTGGCTTACTATACCCACAACCACAAACTCAATTCTCCATCGAGTGGGTCTAGTCTATCAATCTTTGTATACGACTCATCTAAGTACAACATGACGTTTTTACTTTCTTAAGTGGCTCTTGAGCTGTCCAATGACAGATACAGACGAAATAATGGATGAAATTTTGAAAATCGGACAAAGAGTGATGGTTATTTATAAAGTCATGGGGAGTGATTCACTAATTAAAATATCATAGTGGAAATTAGAAGTAGCATACAAAAGGGGGCAACTCTCTCATTGAAATATCAAATTTGAGTCACATGTAATATTTCTCCTCTTTATGCATCTTGAAGTTGAAACTAATATATAGCCAATATTTGAGTTTTTTTTGTTAGATTAATCACCGATAAGATTCGAATCTATGCTGTCATGCAAGAACTTCACTTCTTTCCACCACTATGGTAAGTCACTTGCAAAATTACTTAGTTTTAAAGGTTAAAAAAGTCTATCATATCGAATTCGAAATGCCATACTATTATTATTACTTAATATTCATATTTCATATAACGCGAAGGCATAGTGTTCTTTTTTTCTCTCAAATCAAATAAAACCATACAAAATGAGAAATAAAAAACAATAAAAACATGGCTTTTTTTATCAGCACCCCATATAATGTTGAATACATCCCACATTAAAATTTAATATTAAATGACTAATATACCCTAATATGCATTGACAGTTTTGACCTTATAAGGTTTTAAAAAAAATTAAAAAAATACTAAATGCACCCCAAATGACTTTTAACATGTATATCATAAGATTATTTATCTTCTTCGACTCTATAAACCACTCTCACTCTCCATTGTAGAACAAAAAGCCTAACCAATGAAACTACAAACCCGTTGATTGAGAAAAATTATTTTTTACGAGTACAACATGAAATCGATATTTAGGAAGCTTCACCTTGTTCAAAATGTACCTTCATAAGTGGTGAAGTTTAAACTTCATTGGTCTCAGATTACAGTATCGCCTTCTTTCGTAAAGAAACTTTGACCGTTTCACTTTTGTAAGGTTCCCCAAACATGCAGCTTCTGCCTTCCTCTATTTGTACCTCTCTAGCAGTAAGAAAATCTTGGTATGACATGAATGATTTCGTATCAACGGCACATAGCATAGAAAAAGAAAAAAAGTCATTGTGAAGAGTACGGAGGATGTATAGAGAAAATATAGGGTGTGTATATAAAAACGTAAGGTGCATGTTGAGAGTGTAGGTGTGAGGGTATTATGAAAAAGCATTTTGAGGTGTATTAAAAAAAGTTTTAATTAAAAAGTAAATATTAGGTGTATTGAATATTTGAAATGTATTCAACAATATAAAAAGCCTAAAAAAATTCAGTGTGTGAGAGAGATTTGGAGAGGGAAACTCGGGTCAAACGAAGCAAGGCGCCTCTTTTCTTTTTGCCTCGCTTCTCTGGAGTTTTATCAACCCGAACAAAAAACCAAACAAAAGGAAAAGAAAAGGAAAGAGGAAAAATGGAAGCGGCGATGGGACTGATGCGGCGGATGCCTCCCAAGCACACCGAGACGTCTCTCTCCGCCCTTCTCTCCCTTCTCCCCCAGCACTCCTCCGATCTCCTCTCTCAAGTCGATCAGCCTCTCCAGGTTCTCCACTGTTTGTTTCCCGAGAAAATCCTGTCCAATCCAATCCAATTTTCACTTTTCAGTTTTCTTTCTCTTAGGGCTTCATAACAATCTCAAAAGAAACGGAAATGTTGTTTTGAAAATCGAATTTTAAAGTGACTCTGTTGCTCTGATTTACCAAAAGCAGGTTTTGTGCGATATGGAATACGGGAAGGAGTTCATTCTGTGTGAATATAACAGAGATGCAGACTCTTACAGGTAATTCAGTTCTTTGTCAACTTTGATGGGTTCGTGTGAGATTTTTCATATATTATGCTTCAATTGCCACATTTTTGGGGGACATTTTAGAGGTAGCAGATCTGGCCTTGATTTGTGAATCTGGATGTTTGGTATATTTTTATTAATTTAATTTGGTTTTTTTGGGTTTTTATGCAGATTTAATTGATGTGATTAGTGAAATGCATGTATAACTATGTAAACCAGTAGCGTAATTTTTTCGTATAATTGCTTTTGTTCTGTGAATTTCAATTGTCTATAGTTTTTTTTTTTTTTTTTTTTGTGCTCCTATGTTTCCATGTAGATCACCTTGGTCAAACAAATATCATCCGCCACTAGAAGACGGCAGCCTCCCATCTTTAGAGCTGAGGAAACTTGAAGTTGAAGCCAACGACATCTTTGCCATTTATCGTGACCAGTGAGGTTCTTTACTTACCTCGTTCTTGCGTTATTCTTTGCAATGGTTTTTCTTTCCGTTATCTAATTTTCAAAAAAGAAGAAGCAATACAAGAAGCAAGAATGTGTAGAAAGTATCCTCGTGCAATTTATTTTAGCACAATGATTCAGTTCTTTGTTTCATTCTGAAGATTTAGTACAGCTTGATTGACCGGTAATTTGGTAGGTATTATGAAGGTGGCATTTCATCAGTTTATATGTGGGAGGATGATAACGAAGGTTTTGTAGGCTGCTTTTTAATAAAGAAAGGTCTGCTGCCTGAACTATCTCAAAGCACATAAAAATTATCTTCTGTTATATGCATATTTGCTGATTTCAATTATTTGTGGGAATTTAGATGGCTCCAAGACAGGGCAAGGTCGGCGAGGTTATCTGCAGGAGGGGGCATGGGATGCTATACATGTGATTGAGGTAAACTCTATTTTTCATGGAAGGAACAATGTAGATCTGTAGTGAAGGTGTTCATGCCGTCCTGACACTCCCTCCCTTTTCACACTTACACTAATTGCCATTCTGGAACTTTTTTCTTACATAGGTGGGTCCGGAGGAGGAAGGAACCGCTCATTACCGTTTAACAAGTACTGTAATGCTGTCTTTGACTACAGATAATGAGTCGTCAGGCACATTCAGTTTGTCTGGATCAATTAGACGACAGGTAATCATAATCGATTTTAATTGTGGAAACAAATTTTTAAGAGGTACAAAGAAGTCAGTTTGGTGAGAAATGTTCTCTTTCGTCACCCCTATTTCTTCCTTTTCTTCTCTTTCTAAGAATGTTTAATTTTTCATTTGCAATGTCTAGAATTTTCAATTGTGGGCACCTACTATATCCGAATGAGTAATTCATCCATGTGATGTGATCTGTATATGTTTTGATATGAGTTGGCATGGTCTAGCTTCCAAATTGTTCTCAGAGATCAACATTGAAGTGATAAGCATGTTTTGAACGGGAGGATTAGGGAACTATTTCTCTTATTTTTTTGTTGCAAATACACATAATTTTTTAGCAAGTGAATGTGCTAGTGAACAACTCTTCTGTCTTCTTTGATAAGAGAGGAAGAACTTGATGTGCACTAAGGACAGTGCTCTGTAATCTCTGTGGATCAACTTTAGGTGTATCGTGTTATACTGATGGACCTGATATGGTTTAAATTAATTAAGCAAAAGATTTGTAGTTTGAATGATCACCCAAAATCCATTTTTCTATGCTGCCCTGCATGTACTATTTGTACGATATCTTGGGATGGATCAAATAGTCCCTTCTTTTTGGCTTTGTAGATGAATATGCACCTGTCAACTGAAGAAGGCCATCTTTGTAACATGGGAAGAATGATTGAAGAAATGGAGAGCAAGCTGAGAAATTCACTGGATCAGGTACTGTGGTTCCTTACCTGCGTATTTTACCATTTTTTGTGCTGCTCTATAGTTCTGATTATATGATGTTTCAGCAAGTTATTGAACTAAGAGTCATGGCCCAGGCTTAAACTTTAGGCCATCACCTCTGAAACGGCGGAATACCTCTTAAACTTTATCTGTGAAATTTTAAACTTTCATTTTTCTGCTACGGCAGGTTTATTTTGGGAAGACGAAAGAGATGGTTTGCACATTACGACCACCATCTGAAGTAGTGATGAGACTGCCTGACAGCTGATGAGACGTATTCTATAGGCTACCAAAAAGGGAGAATACTAGTAATTCACTAGGAGTTGGTTGTCAAATTGCTTAACTGGGTGATTGGGGTTTCGGTGTACTTTGTGTGTGTGACATTATTTGTTTTTGAAATCTACTTTCATTTTGATTTGTTCCGCTTGGCCTTTCTGCCGTTGCACAGCGGAGAAGATGGCTGGATTATCAATCGAAAAGGCCTCATGTTTCTTTCATTTGTGTTACTAGTCGGTTATCTACGCACAACTACACCAGATCAGACTGTTGTCGGGTGCAATCGATGGAGTTGCAACAACCAAATCAAAGGTTGCATCTAAGCAGAGAGGTCTCTTGTACGTGTGGTCCAATTTTGGGCCCACAGAAGGAGATGCAAAGTGAGTTTAAGTTTCGAAGTATATCAATGCACTGTGTAACAACGAACTGATTTGTAGGACTTAAAAATAAGAGTGTAAATACAAAATAACAAATAATGAAGAAATAAAAAATGATAAAACCAAGTAACACATGCAGGTGGCCTTTTATTACAATGGTGAAAAGGTATTGAGTTTTTGCATGACGGTGTGGGAACAAATTTCATAGGTGATTACTTTTAACATCTAATCTAACAAAATTTATCGTTAGATAAAAGAAAAAGGTAAATTACATAAAACTACCGCAATTATTGGGTCGGTCAAAGTTTCACACCCTATCTTTAAAAAATTTGAATGTCATCTCATCTGCAAATTTTTTACAATTTCATACATTCTATTAGTTTTTTGTAAATTCTTCCTTTCAATAGTGACGTGACTTGAGACGGAACCCACTCTCTATTAAAAAAACTAATAAAATATTAAAAAACTAAATAAAAAATCATTTAATTTTTTTTTTTGCATTGGGGACCCACCCCTTATCCCCTCACCCGTTCTTCCCTCTCCTGTCTTCCCCAAACCCAAATCCCACCCACCCTGCTTCCGTCTGGGTGGGATCTGGGTTTGGATTTGGGGAAGATGGGAGGGGAAGAAAGGGTGAGGGGATGAGGGGTGGGTCCCCCATGCAAAAAAAAATATATTAAATAATTTTTTTTTAGTTTTTTTAATATTTAATTAATTTTTTAATAGAGTAGGCCCAGTTTCAAGCCACATCATTATTGATAGAAAATTGACGGAATGTATGAAATTGTAAAAAATTCATGGATAAGGTATGACATTGAATTTTTTAAAGATGAGATATGAAATTGTAACTGACCTAATAGTTGAGGTAGTTTTATATATTTTACCAAAAAAAAACAAAGAAATAACAAGTGAAAACCAGCAAAGAAATAATAATTTATCATAGCCACCACCAAAGACATAACAAATGATCATAACCAGCAAAGAGAGATCAATTAATAATAACCAAATGAATGCATGAATTAATGAGTGAAAATTACACGGGATCTCTAAAAGCCAATTAAACTTCATCAAAATTAATGTATTTATAAATCTATTAAAATTCCTCAAAATCTCAATGGAATAATCTAAGAACCCTCTTGACGAGAAGTAGATTCGCCGGTGAAATCTTTTGGAATGACCCAAAACAACAAAGTTTCCGTCCTTGGGATGAGCAGCTTCAAAGTCGGCGGCACCTGTTTCGGCATGGCAGGACCCTTTCTTGCCTACCTTGCAATCGATGCGGGAGGCCTTTCTTGCCTACCTTGCAATCGATGCAGGAGCCCTTGTTCTCCAATGGTGAAGAAATACAAGGCTTCACCGTCTTGTAAGGCGTCTCCATCAAAATCCTTCCAAATTTTCGACGGGTCTGCGGCTGCGGTTCCGTAAAGGTAGAGCCTTGGCACAAGTTGCTGACAAAGGACGGACAATGATTTCTCGAACACCGTGTTGCAGAGATAGTAGCCCAGGAGATCAGAATCCGTTGGAATTTATGTTGTGAATTTTAGTGTGAATCCGTTGCCAAGTTCACTAATTTTTACGCCTTGTAACCGTTTGATGAAATGCGGACATGAGAACGTAGATTTTGATGGTAGCTTGTGACTCCCTGGAAGAGCTTGATAGCTTCCAAATTCGATCTTCTGGATTCTTTTTTTCATACTGCAATATCCGGAATTTTCAAATTGTGGCCGCAAAATTTATATGGATGAGTAATTCATTCATGTGATGGTAATCTGCAAACGTTTAGATATTAACTGGCATGGTCTACCATGTAAACGGCTGTCAGCGTTCAAGTGATAAGTGTGTTTCTTACAGGAACTATAACTACTTCTCTTGTTTTTTGTTGCAAATACAAATTGAAAGTTACAGTGAACAACACTTCTGTCACTTGATAGTTATAAAAGGAATGACAGTACTGTGAAATCTCGGTGAATTGAGTCAGTTTTTGGATGATCGTGTTTTAATTAAGGACAATATTTGTTGTTTGAATGATCACCCTGCCCTGCATGTAGTATTTGTATCATATCCTGGGCTTGCAGTTAGTTGGTTTGGTCTGTGTCTGTGTCTGCGTTATGTTTTCTTTTTTCAGAAAGAAATAAATGAAGTTTGATCGTCGGAACATTGTCGTCGCTGCAGCAGCTGTTGGTGGTGGTGGTGGTGTTGTTATTAGCGGCGAAAGTGCTTTGCTGATCTGGCTCCTCGTCGGCAGCTCGGTCCTTGCCCTGCTGCTGCTTCAGCTTCAGTGCTGCAATCTATAAAATCAAAGCCATTAAGCCACTGTGAGTATTTTTTTTTTGCTTGCTTTTCTATCACAATTTCTACCTTCATTTTTTCAGTAACTAAACAAATATATAATTATATATTTATATACCTCATTTTCTAATCGAAGCTTGTCTTCTTTCAGCTGTTTTTCCTGTTCAGATTTAGAGCCATGCATAAGACACCAAATTCAAATCAAAACTGTCAAAATAACTCTACAAATATTTACAGCAACATATCAATTACACCAAATTAATAATCAGTAACACAGAATATATAGATATATTATATACATGGCACCAGAAATGTAGTGATCAGACAACTGAGAATATAAGAAAAGTATTAGTGAACAGATATAGTTGATCTTAATTTACCCTTTCACTCCCCTTCTCCGAAACCACAAAAAAATTGAAGCAACAAAAATGCGAGTCCCTGCACGAACCTTGAGTTGTAGGGAGGGCATATCCACAGTACACATAGACCGCTCATCAGGACATGCGTAACGTGGATATGCCCTCAGACAGATTGCAATTGGCAATAGAATAGAATTAGAACCCCTTCCAATCTCATGAGCTAGAATGCAAATACAAATCTGTACTAGTAATAGTATACCAAAACTGGGCGGTAAAACCCCCTTCAATCTCCACTTTAACAAAGCGTATATCCTGCTAATTAATGTGAACACTCTTCAAAACATAATACACTTTCTGTTCATAGTTGAAGTTTGATGATGTCAGAGAAAGAATGCATACCGTCTCGATAAGAGCTGTACAGGTTTCCATCATCAGCTGTGTCTGCATTATCAATAGTACTCAACTCAAGTGAGTTTTTACCTCCAATCTATTAAAATTCCTGTACTTCCAATACACGACGCAAATTATATGAACACTTCACTTATCTGTTACTATTGTGTGTTTATTTCAATGATAGTCGTGTGACTCGAAATTATCAAATATCAGTGAACTTCTACCGTGAAACACTGATGAAATTACAGTTTCATGGATGAATCATATTGTTCACTCAAAAACCTGATGAAACACTGATGAAATCACACTGATGTTGTTCACTCAAAACCTGAAGAAATACCTTGATATATATCACGGAAACAATACAACTTACCACTAACACAATTGTCCAGAAATTAATACTTTTCACAAGATTTACCAACTTCCAAAACTCAAGGACAAAAGCATTATTGATCTTCGACGCAATCCCAGCTAGAAAAAGAAACTACATTCCGACAATAGGTACTTCACTTAATTGAAAGAGCCATTGAAACCAGTCTAAGTGAAACCACACTGCTATATATTAGCTTCTTTTAATTAATTATGGTCTGAGTAGAAAGAGAGTTACAACCTTTCTTGATCTTGTTTGTCTTAAAACTGCATCCAATTCCTCCTCAAGCTGGGTAAGCTTTGGAATATCTAGATTTGCAATGTCTTGTGTTTCCAAATTACTGCAAACATATAATCAGATCCCAGTCACGTGGGTGAAATGTAATGAAGCTTCTGTACATGATACTTACCTTTGAATCATTTTCAGAGATTGGTTGGCGCCTGTGCGGAGACCACTCCCTTCGGAATTATTCTTCTGCACCCGAGATTAGCAGAATGTGAGAAGAGACGATACGGTAAATGATAAACCTCTATTCTTATCCAGAGAACATAAGCTCAAAGTATTGCTACTGGTGTTTGTCACTATTTTGACAATGATGCAAAACTTGAAGTCCTAACAAATACAGTAAATTGGTTGAACTGTTAGTTCAATAACTTCAATTTTATTTTCTCATGCTCTGTTATTTCAGTAACTTCTTTCATGATCAATCTAGTTGAGCATCACCCATGCCTAAATTGGTTTCTTATAAGCCAACAGCGTATATCAAGCTTACCGTTTCACCGAGCTCGATAACTCGGTGGATTAACATATAGGTGAATTCAATCTACAATTTAACATTTTACGAGTAATTTGAAGGTAATTTTGTGCAGAGTAAAACGTTTGACTAACCTTGTCAGTACCACCAGCATCCTTGGAAGCACCAATTTCCTCATCATTATGTATCTGGTAACGCTCGACAAGCTTTCCAAAACTGAAGTAATGAAGGTCGCAAGGAAAAAAAATACAAACCATAAGCAAGATTATTTTGTGCATTAATTAATATGAAAGAAATAAACCATCAATGATATACTTGTTGTAGAAGAAATAACATTTGTAAGAATATAAATCATCTGGAAAATAGATTAAATTGGAAATAGGAGGTAGGGGCTAGACCATTTTACACACTACGGCAAAACTTCCTTTTGCTATTTTCTATTGTAAAATGACTCAAAACACGGCTCCTCTCATGTGTCGATTAAGAGTATCTATTACGTGAAAAACGTACAGAGTAATAATTGGACTTAAGGGTAGCATACTCTAATACCATATTAGAATGTGAATATCCAATCTAAATCAATTGTCCATATCACAAAGAGATAAGACCAACACATGTCCATATTCCCTTCTAATTTAGCCATGTTCCAAATGTGTACAAAATTCTAACCTATGGGCCT